CGCCCACACACACACACACCTGCGCCCGCACACACGCATACACATGCACAAAAGGCATCTCGCAACGCGCACGCACGCACGCACACACACACACACACACACACACACACACACACACACACACACACACACACACACACACTTATCCATCAATCAAATGCATCCTGGGCAGACTGTCAGCGTTCAACCTAGTTATAAGTAGCTGAAAGTCCGCCGGGAAAAAAAAAAAAAAAAAAAAAGTCCGCCGGAACAGTCTGGCACAGTCATGCTTTTCTTGTGGAGCTGTGACAGCAAACATGACAACACACACACGTGTTCCATATATCTATAAATGTGTGCATTGCGGCAACTCTCCTCAGCTTCACCATCAACACCATCACCAACATAAAATAGTCACCCATCAAAATAGTTAAGAGAACCTTTTTTTTTTTTTTTTTTGAAGTCCAGGTTGTTGTAGAGGCTAGCCAGCATTCATATGACAGTCCCTTCAGCAGTTGGCCGTCAAATCTTACCTGTCTTCGGTTGCCTGATTGCTTGATACCCGCCGCTTCGCCCAATTCGTTGTCTTCCCGTCAGCGCATCTACTGTCTCAGAACTCACCTGCAGCATTCCCGTCCGTACGATCCGTCTCTCTCGTCGTTCAGGCTGGGGGGAACGCCACGTGGAAGAACCCGTCAACGTTCCCGCGCACACATGGTCGCCTAACACTACTTTGCGCCAGCGTTGGGCTTGGGACATGCAGAAGTTCCACGTGCTGCGCTTGTCCTGCACGTGCTTTGCAGGAGCGCCTCCCTGCAGTCGGACATGCTGAGGGAAACTCGTCCCCACAGCCTCGAGGGAACACTGCGGTCCTGCTGCTGCTGTTGCCATCGCCAATTAACTGCCCTCTGATGAAGCAACGGCTATGGTGGACAGACGAACCTGTCCGGTTCGGTTCGGGAGATTGGAGACGCCCCGATGGTCAAGTTGGTGGTCAGATAGTAGTTCAGCTCAAACAGGTCCCCACTCTAATAGGCCACAATAGGGAAAAAAACAGCCCGCCCTTTGCCAAAAAGCACTTTCTTTCTTTTTCTTGTTTTTTTTTGGAAAGAAATAGCGATTTATGTTTACAATCATAGGATAGGAATGAGGCAGGTTTCATAGCCATGCCCCACTTGTCGAGGTTAGTTCTGGTTTCAAGAATGCAGGGCTCCCTGCCACCCGATCTGAAAATTCCACGGCCACGGTGTGACCACGTTGAAAAATACACGAAACATAAACCCGCTAGTGGGACATGGCCCCCGGGAACTCAGAGTTCGACCCGGACAGTCTGGGGCCATTACCCAGATTAGCTTCTGATCCGACTGTGCCTAAAGTAGGCAATTTTGTTGAGAAACGCGGATCCCACAACTTTCCGGGCGTGGCAGTTTGTTAGGGGTACATTTTCTGTTTAGCGGATCCCACAACTTTCCAATGTACTCGGGCGTGGCAGTTTGTTAGGGGTACATTTTCGGTTTATGTGTACCTGGCGCGTAGTCCATGATGCCCAAAGCTCGAGGACCCCTACCCCTACCGGGAAAGATGCCGCGAAAACGAGTAGGCCTTTTCGATGTCCGCCCGTGGTCGCCTGGTTCGTCTGTGGAGCAGAGGACCGTGCGACGTGGGTGGGCTGCTTCCCTGGTAGTGCGACATTATGGGCCCCCCGGTTGTCCCATGCTCTCGCAAGGCATTTCTGTGGCAGTTCCCGTTGGGGTGCGAAAGGAGCCATTTTTGTGAAGTGCCGTGTGCGCGCTTCGTCGTTTTCGAATACTTTATAACGAAGCGTGCGTGGTAGCACAGCATGTGTACACCAGTCCTTTTCGTGGCCGTTGGCAGAATCTAGGGAATAACTTCCATAGCTGGCGTGCGCAACCAAGACAGCAGTTTTCCAGTTTTCGTCATCGTACGCGGCAAGCAGGTATGGAGCATAACCGCAACGCAAGTCCGTCCGCGTCGGCCTTGTCGTCCCGCATGGAATCTGCGAGCGGAGATGTGCCGCCATCGATCTCGGCAGGTGGAGCATGGCCAGGGGGTCTCCCCCCTTTGCCCACTTTCAAGGCGCTTCCGTAGTGGGCCACCCAAAATGTGTTCTCACCGCCAAGGTCGGACACGTACACAAGCATGTCGCAGCAGTGTGCTGAGGAGTCCTTCTCCTCCCTCATGGGCCAGGCAGCAAGCGCCCAACCGCAATCAGCGTTTCCGAGTGCTTTTCCCGCGTCGATGGGGTGGGGGATGCCGCATGAGCAGCCTGGCGTTCCATGTATGCAGCGGTTGAGGTCCTTCGACGACTCGATTACAAGTGGAAGAGTCGATACGGGCGTCTAGAGCGACGATGCAGACGTCAACATTCGCGGACAGGCGGAGACGCAAAGAGGGGCCTTTGGCTGGTGGTTGAAAGGCAGTGCAGGGGATACAGGAGAAGGCGGTAAGAAAACGGCAACGACGAGCAATGCCGGTGGGGTTGGAAAGACTGTTGCGAAAGGAAAGAGCCGGGACGATAATTGGAGGTTGGATGAAACATTGGCGTTACTGCGATACCTCGCGGAAGAGGATGCTATGCACGTCAGCAGACCGAGAAGGCAGCAAATGAAGTGGAAGAAAGAGAGGTATGAGTGGGTGGTGTCGAAGATGGTGCAGCAAGGCTTGGCGAAAAGGCTGGTAGGGGAGTGCGAGAAAAATGCAGTCAACGCACAAATTTGGGCATTGCAATGCGGTTGGTGGAGATGGTCGGATCCCAGCACGACATGCCAACGTGTGGTGGTCAGCGAGTGTGTTATTTGGCTGTGATGTGCGAGTTTATTTTTATTTTATTTTTGCCTTTTGTTCGTCGTTCTGTGCTTGCAGGACTCCCTTCGAGCCATTGGCATGGAACCCACGTTTTCCCCTGCGAAAATTCCTCTCGACGAAGTCCCCAACATGGTTGGAGACTTCGCACTTGTGCACTGCCGAATGATAGAGAACGGGCACGAACTCACAAGAAAGAGGGGTCTTGTTAGAACGTGCACACGATGGTTGCGGAGTTGAAGCGAATGCACGGTGTCGGGCGCGGCGGTCCCACACCCAGATGTAAAGTAATTTTTATGTTGGACCTCACGGTCGCATCACACATGAGTTTTAGAAGCGTTTCAACGAAAGACCAACTCCGACCGTGCGCGCCAGTTATACCTCTCGCAGCTCCCTGCGACAGGACAGAGATCCCGCGAGGTAAAAATCACCTCCACCTGCGGGAGTTGTCACCATCCCTTAGGTGGCCGTAGCCCTGCTGAGCTACTGACCCACGTGCGAAAGCTTTTACATGCAATCACAGAGGTAAGTCAGCTGAGGGCGTTTGCTCGATCTCCGTAGCATAGGCATACGTGCGGTTGAACGCCTAAGACTGACTACGCGTCCGACATTGGGGCGCTGATCTCCAGGACCGACTTACAAAGCAGGTCGACTCGACTGACGAACGTTCGCACATACTACGATTTGCCTATGAATAGTTTCTATAGGTATGACTTATGACCTAGTCCCTTTTCGGAACACGATCCTCTCAATACTTGAATTATCAGGGGTCGCTCGTAAGACATATACCCTATCTTATCTAGTGATTAAGTCCATTCGACATATCTATCTATGAAAAACTCTTTAACCATAGCATACATACATGTGAAGTGAGATACGGTTGAGTAATTAGGCGAGGAAATGTCATGTACACATAACATATTCACATAAACTGTCAAAATTCATCAAGGGAAAAACATAGGTCTTTGACCTTTCAAACATGTACAAATGAAATGAACATGAAATGAATAAGACTTGTCGTCTTAGCAATAATCCTAATCTCCCTAACAAACAGGGAAAAGGCGCAAGGCTGGGTACTCAAACCAATCACGCACTGATGGAACATCTGGATCAAGGTCCAGGATAGCATAAGCTTCTCAATGGGTTGTAGTGAATAGCGTGTGGCTGATCGTTTTACTGACCTGCAGACAAGAGTCAATCACATTACACAATTCTTGACGGAGTCAACCTTTTATTCACTTTCACCCACATTACACTTACACTTTCAACCTTTCAGTAAGACATCCCCTTTTCGACTTAGTCATTCATCCTCGTCTGATTTTAGTCATTCAATGACCCCTTTTGACCAAACACAGACCATTTAGACAATGACCCGAAACAGAAATGTCATTTAGTGCAAAGGTTTATGCAAAGTGTGGGTGTAGAGGGTGAGTGAGGGTTGAGTTGGTTAACCAACCTGTTACCATAAGACAACAACATGTAGTCTTGTATAGACTCAAAATGGGTCCTCTTGAAATTTAAGATGACATGCAATCACACACAAGTCAACACAATCTCAACACTTCTTTGCCGTCGACATGACCCTATCTGAAGTTCAATATAGTGAACTTCAATTTAGTCAGGAATAATACTACATCGACATAACTCCCTCAAGGCAACCTCTCTAACTTCTCATCATATCAGTTTCTAGAGATAGCCGTCTAAAAGAAGGAAAGTATAAGGCTAACATCACTAATAGTTTCTGCCTTATCATATGATTCCCCACTTAAGACATGCACAAGCAAAACATCATCAACTCATCTGGAATAGAATCATAAGATTGTCATCAATCAAGAGGTTAAGATAGCAAAACGGGTCACACGGGGCCACATTCCTTCTACCTCCACCTCAGCAGAATCAAGACTCAACAAAAAAAAAGGATTGTGTTAGCACTAAAGTTTAACGGGGAGCTTTGTGTATAACATCATATTTTAATCAGTTTATAAACTGTTTATCTTCATGTTCATGTTGATAATCATGAAGGGGGTTAACCTATATCTATAATCAATGAACAAATCGGATGTCATCGTTTGACCCTTTTTGAACTGTTTACAAACAACTCATCAACTGTTTATATTCTCTCCTCGGAAGCGGTCTGTCAGTAATGAATCGATCTCTTTTCAAGACTTTTAATGTTTCCTGTCTATCGAGAAGGTTAGTAATAGTATGGTGGACCACTCAGGATCTACTCATCTTCATTGAGCGTCTGCTTGTGATAGGGTAGACCTCAAGGCCTTGCTTCGCCTACTTACTGTCTTGCATTAGATCAAGGTCAGATGATAATAAGGCAGGCTTCTCGGAGTCTTGCTACTCTTATCACTGTCTGTGTTATTAGTGTGATAAGGCAGGCTTTTCGGAGCCTTGCTACTCTTATCACACCGTTAGAGTCATCATAGCGATAAGGCAGGCTTCTCGGAGCCTTGCTACTCTTATCACTCACTTACACTGACGAATGGTTGGTTGGTAATAAGGCAGGCTTCTCGAACCTTGCTACTCTTATCGCCGTCTGTGTTATTAGTGTGATAAGGCAGGCTTCTCGGAGCCTTGCTGCTCTTATCATATAGTTACTGACATCATTGTGATAAGGCAGGCTGCTCGGAGCCTTGCTACTCTTATCACAACTTCCAGCGGAGTAAAGCCGGTTGATAATAAGGCAGACTTCACGAAGTCTTGCTTCTCTTATTACCACCTTCCTCACTTGAGCAGACTTAGGTAATAAGGCAGGTTTCTCTGTGTTTCACTGCGCGTCCGTGCCTTAAGAGTTGCAGCCGTAGCACAAGTTTTTTCTGCTATAATGTCGAAAGGTCAAGTTTGCGGTCTCCCAGAAGACCCGAAAGTGACCTTTCGTAATTCTAAGTAGGCAGTCGATAGGCAACTGGGCAAGTGGCAGTCTAACCCGGCCGAATCAGCGATACCCAGTCCCGGTTGCATTTTATCAAGTCAGCAAGTACCATGTGGGATTGTATGCACCCCAGTGTCCAATGTTTAAAGGCAGACCTTTGACAATCCGAAATAAAGAGACAACATCAAGGCATTCATTCATCCTACCTGTGAGCCGTGCTGAAGCCTTGTCAGAGC